TCATGTTGTTGACTTTCTGCAGTCCTTGCTGAATGCATTCTCTGAAGCAGCGGAAACTCAGTTTGCATGTGCCTTTGTCCGGGGCCGTGTCGTCGCCGCAACTGCAGGATGGTAAGACCGGCTTGCATGATGCCATGCTGATTCAAACTGTGATATTGTATATACTTGTAGCTGTCAAATTGGTGAGAGCAATGTGACTGCATGATTGTGTTGTGATCATCAGCGGCATACTATACAGTGCAAATTTGATCGCCCTCTTTACACACCGAACAACGATTCGACTGTGTGCGTGTGTGTATGTGTGTGTTTGCTTGTTTCAGGTGGGATCTATCTCCGTTTGACTCGGTGATGCTATCTCTGCTATGCACGCACCATCCTAAATCCACTAGCCAAGATCTGCCTGTGTACCTGCCCAAGGCAAGCCCTAATGTAAGTCATGCGTTTTCATCATTCTGATCCTCGCTATCTGTAGTCTCTCAACCCGTGCCTTACCTTGCCATAACACCGTGGTACAAAGCTTAGCCTTCGTGGGACCCCGGAATTGATCTCCTCATCAGGCAGTACACACAGGCACCTGGCCACCATTCACGGTCATTCAACGTTCATCCTTGGCCTTGCCTCCTGCATTTGACCTCACTCGCCAAGTCGAACTGCACCTGCAGTGATCTTAAGGAGAAAGTTAATAATTAAACCTACAACTCCCTAATCTTCAGGAGAAAGTAATTAACTTAAGTTAGACCTGCAACTCCCTAATCTTGATAAGGAGAAAGTAATTAACTTAAGTTAGACCTGCAACTCCCTAATCTTGATAAGGAGAAAGTAATTAACTTAAGTTAGACCTGCAACTCCCTAGTCTTGATAAGGAGAAAGTTATCAATCTTCAGGAGAAGGTCATTAATTAGACCACACTCACCAAGTCTACCTGAAACTGCCTGATCGTTTAACCCTTTGAAGCCCAAGGACGAGTATACTCGTCCCGAGTGATTTCCCAAGGATGAGTATACTCGTCCAAATATACTCGTCCAAAACGCGCAATGTGTACACATTGAGCATAGATCTCTCTCTGTACAAAGCTTCGTATCTCCGTTGTCCTTTCTTTGATTTTCACGAACGATAGCTTGTTGGAAAGGTACGGAAAAGACCTTTCCAGGGGTGTGTCACGTGTGGCAGCGCGATGCGAAATACCCGAGCGGCGAAGACCGGAACGCGGTTGAATATTTCTAAACTTGAGAATTTTGAAATTTTCGAGTAGAGCTCGCGTGCGCATGGGGTTTCCCCATGACTCATACCAGTGCAGCCCATGCACGATGGGTACCAAGATGACCGCTTGAGCTCGCAGCACGGAGAACTTTGAATCGTTGTTTTGTGTTGAGTAAAAGTCATGAACCGAAGGAAATTGTTACTGTGGGTGGTGTATCTCGTTCAGGCGCGATAGAGCTGCACTCAAGGGACTTGGAGGCGCTTCTGTTGCTTCTGCTTAGTGTCTAGTCTTTATCTTTGGATGGAGGAGATCACAAGCTTTTCAGGGAGCTCCAGATCATGAAATTCCATTGCTGGTGGGTGAATTATGAAATTTTGAAGTCGACAATCCGTGGTTGCGTGCAGCGCTGTGCGAGTGCCTGGGAAATCAGAAAACCCAGCTGGGCTTCAAAGGGTTAAGGAGAAAGTTAACTTACGAAGGACTTCAGGTCAGAAATAGAAAGTGGCTTGGTGGTTTTGACATTGACACGCTGGCAAGTAGTGTCTGGTTCAAGAGGGCGATACAGACAACTGGTGGGTCAGTACTAGTTACCCTAATCTGAGTGAAGAGAGGGTAACAAGGTGGAAGCGATTGGAAATGCTTTAGCACAAGCCGGGCATACACACATCAGGGAATGAATAATTTGTACATCAAGCAGTAGCAGCTCCCACGCTACAGTGACTGAGGCCCGATAGCAAAGCTAAAATTAGCAAGATTGCTCATAGTGTATTGAGCAGGAGCAAAGTAGGGACAAACAAAGATTGTCTGTATCTTATAAACTACAAAAATACTTTCCTCAGGATAAAGAAACAAAAATAGAGTTTTCATTTGTGGCAGCGAGTGCGATCTCCGACCTCTCGTCGAGAGAGCGGGTTTCCTCAGCAATCACACAGTGGTCACTTGTGAGGAGAGTCTCCGAAACGTTTTAATGTTGCTGGCTTGGAAGCTCGTATATTGATATTGTGGACTAATGACATCATATCTGTGTTCTGTCACCTGTCATTATGCAGACACCGCATCGTCTTCTTAGCCTCAAGGTGAGCAAACCATGGCTTGTGTTGTGATTATTCATTCTCCATGGCTTGTCTTGTGATTGTTCATCCTTGTCATACGGTTTACCGTCGTGTGTGAATCTTTCCTCTGTTTGTTGGCTGTCCACTCGTTCTCGTATTTGCCGGCTGTATCCAGTCTTTTCTTGTGACATAGCAGTTGTGAGCTGCTCAGAAGCTGCTCAACTATGATTAGGTTCTTCATGGTGGC